AAATGAAATGGCATCAGACTTACCCGACGTAGAGGAGAGTACGCAGAAGAGGGAGATGGAACAGATCTGCTCGCTCTCTCCTTTTATACAGTGCTCCAGATTGCCTGGGGGGTCTGAGGCATGCTGCACGCATGAAGTCATAATCACCAACCAGCCCAAATTTGAAGCGCATAGAACTTCCCAAAGTGATGAAACTGTTTTCGCTTGCTGTTTGCAAAATCACCCTAAATCTCCGAATAGCGTGATATGCACATTCCAGCTCCCAGCTCTCTTTCATCTTGAAGCCTAATTGACCCGCTTCATCGCTGGTATCATCCCACCCTGCTCACTGGCATGAATTAAACTGGTTCTAATTATTTAGCACTTCCTTCATTAACTTCCCGTAATGATTTTAATCAGAGCTATAACCTGCTGTCATACACATGTTTGTATTTAAGTGCTTTAGATCTAGGCTATAATCTAATCTACTCACGCATTTTGCAATGAAATGTTCAGTGAGGTGAAAGACACCTTTTGATCCTTTTCCCACCCACCGCTGCAAAATATGAGAGAGGTCCCGTACCGATGGTAATCACAGACATTGTCTAATGGTTTTTGATTCAGAAATCCTGAATTTTCCTTGCTGCTTGGGAACACCAGCAGAAAATATATCATTTTGGTACCTGAAACTGTGTTTAAAAGAAAAGCAAAATTTTTCTCTGAAGGGATATAAATATTTTTTTCCTTATATTTCACCTTTATTGACATTGCACAGCTCTGAAGGAGGACATAACACAAGAGAGTGGTGAAGCAGCTGCTAATTTCTCAATTTTTTTTGTGATACTAAACCTTTCTGTCCACCACTGCAATTCATTCAGTCTGTATTTTCTCTTTCTTTTTGTTCAGATGATAGAGTATATTTTGCCCTTCATCTCACAAAGGAATTGAACCCAAGTTGTGGTGGACGATGTTATAGAAACAATTTTTGAGTGCTTCCTTCTGAGATTTATTGGGTAAATGGCAGGAAAAGCGACGGAATTTTCTGAAGAATAGTTACTGCAAAAACAGATTTTTTTTTCCCTCTCTCTTTCTTTGCTGACTAGCAGGACATCGCCTGCAGAGTGCATACTGCTGCAGAGCCCAATTTTGACTGCTCAGATCTCAAGTGACTTGTCACTGGAAATTACTCAACCTTCCCCAATACTTAGTAGGGAGGGACAAGAATTTCTACAAGACAATTCACCCTGTCTCAGCTGCTTACCTTACCAGAATTGGCATCACGCTCAAAACGCAACAATTTTGTTTTTATTGACCATGGAGACAGACAACACTGAAACACCCAGCTCAGCTGAAACACCCAGCTTTTAAACAGGGAAGGTTTGATGAGATGTGTCCCACCCATGTCTATGGATCAGTGGTTTGTTAAATAACCAACACGCCAACATTTCAACCAGGAGTTATGATTTAATTATGAGGTGGTTCTTTCCAGTTTTTGAGATAGCCTTAGAGGATAACAAGATCAATAATGCCCACCAAGGGTATTCAAATATTTTTGTGTGTGTTTTTGAGCAGTTCCCAAGCCTTCCTGAGTGGTTTACGCATGAAGTGGTGGATCATTATTGTAATATAAGTATGCGGTTGGATTCAAGCAGCCAAGCGTTTTGAAATATATTTTTTAAATTGCACTGGTCAAGCACAATCTTCCCGTTCCTTTTGCCAGCTCATGATTTCTCACCTTAGGATTTCAGTTGATTTTACTTTATAATTTAGGTTTTTATTTGTTTGTTTAAATTGGTGTACAATCTCCTTAAGTGCTGATGTCGTGTTAATTCACATCCCCTTCAGCGTCTGTAGCACCAAGATCTGTAACATCTGCCTCTACCCTCACGTTTCAAAAGCTTTTTCTAGGACTTTCCTAGTCTGTGAGCTGTCTTATCTTTTGTCTGTGTTTTAAACACATGCTCAGCTTCCAAAAAACCCCAAAACTAATAAGTTGCCTGTAATCTGGCTAAGAAACTGTTTACCTTTGTTGTGACCAGTGAATTTACCTCTAAAATGTGAAGAAACAGAACAACGGGGTAGAATGGGAAACAAGGGATGTGTGTGGATGATTTTAAAAAGTGCTTCGCAATGTATCTTTTGATTTTTCCCCTGAAAAGTTGCAGGATGGACCAATCCAAACGTGAATTTCAGCTTCATATAAGGGTTGCTGAATTCACAAGAAAGACACCGTGGTTTATATCAATTATACTTTATCTAGCATGGGTAAGGAAGGATGGAAAGAAAACCTGCATATGAAAGCAGATGGCAATTATGATTAACATTTGAGCCACCATCATTAAGTCAACCAATAAAAGAAGAGGTAAATAAATGAAGCCAGCGTAATTCCTCCCGTCATTCTAATGTATTTAATGGAACATTACCAGGAATGAATCTTACCAATTAAGTGCTAAGATGAAAGAAATGTTTGTTTGGTAATTTGCATTTCGTGCAGTGTGAGAATTTGAATCAACTAATAAACATAAATATTGAGCAAAACCGTTTCATCATTTTGAGGTGAACCATGTGTGATAAATGTGGGCTGGCGTTAATGGGAGTCTCAGGTCCTTCAGGCAGTTCGAGGAAATGTATAAAAAAATCCCTCCTCAAAACTGCTTTCTATTTAGTTCTCTTGCTGCCTTCTTTCCAGAGACAGGTATTTTCTAGATATCAAACTGTTCTTTTTTCTGTAAATTTCAGTTAGTCTCTTTTGTCATTTATGAGGAGGCAGTGTTATATGCAGATTTTAAGGGCTAAACTGGTGTTTTCCACAATGCATTGCAGAGGAGCCTTCAGCACTCCACTGGTTCAGATCTCAGGGTTGTTATCTGCTGAACAGATACCAAAACCCCCGACTGTAGTCCTACAGACTGCTCTGTACTCCTGCACCACAAAGGCCCCAGTTTCACCCATGTTTAACGTTCTATACGCCTGTGTTTCCATTAAGCAATGATTAACCATCACTTAAAAATAATTCTGCTTAATGGCTTCAAAAATTTTAGGAATTATATCCATATCAGCAAGTGAATTTTGGCAGGGGAGCTACAATTAGGTGGGATGGATCTGGAAGGAAATCAGTGTTGTGGAGGATCCGGACAGCCATGCCTTTCTCATTTCCATGAGATCTAAGCTTTTCTCCCTGTTCCAGGGGAATTCGTGCTGTGTTACACTTACACTTAGTCATGTTTCCAGTTGACCGATTCATGTCCGCCACCAGTGCCAATAACTTCAGGGTGTCCAGGCCGGAGGGTAAGTGGCTCAGCCGCCATCCATTGTCATCACCTTGCCAGCCCAGGTGCTTAGTTCCTTCCTTCAGGACAGCATAGCAGGATGTTTGTCAGCACCCATACTTAAGGACTCCTTTTGTTACGGGAGCTTTTGTTATGGTAGGCTTTACCACAATGGATTTTCTTACAGATTTCCAAGTCCTGGCAGCAAGTAGAACATCCCTTCTGGCTGTTGATTTTATACTGGCTAGGAGCTTTTGTTATGGTAGGCTTTACCACAACGGATTTTCTTACAGATTTTCAAGTCCTGGCAGCAAGTAGAACGTCCCTTCTGGCTGTTGATTTTATACTGGATACCTTTGTGGAAGCTGTGGGTCTTGCTGGAAGAGCTATTCAATTTACCAGAGACAATTAAATAAAAATAAATAAAAGGAAGAGTCATAGCTGACTTTGTGAGTGCTGAGAAGTGTGCTGTATGCTACTGGCCAGCTATAAAGAGCAGAGCTGGGCATGCTTAGCAGTCCTTGCCTTTCTTTCTTCATATTCTCTCTTCAGTTTCTGGATGCTTAGCAGTCCTTGCCTTTCTTTCTTCGTATTGTCTCTTCCGTTTCTGTCTGAATGTTCTCTGATCACTGGTACGTTATGTTTAACCGTACTTCTTACTGTAGTAAAATATGTAGCCTAAGATCTTTTGGCAGTTTTTTTCGCATGAAGTAAACTATCTTGTGAGATAAGCATCTGCTTGAATCAGGAGATGGTTACATGCTTCACTGATAACCTGAAAAGATATGCCATAGGCTATCTATTTATATTTAATATATACATAACTGAAACAGCGTCAAAGGAGTCCCAAACCAGAAATTCAATCAGATATACTGTGAAAGTATGTGAAAGTCCTTATTGTAGTTTTGAAGAAGTTTCATCTGCAGACAGCCAGAATTTTGGGAGATTGAGACAATTTAATAGCATGGATCTAGGCTGGCCTGCGCTAGAGAAACACAGAATGTGAAATTTGTCTAATATCTGTCACCAGTCTTCCATTAAGAGCTGTGGTGGTGAAATTACTTGGATGACCTTGGATCAGAAGTCTGCAGTGGAAGAAGCAAGAGCTTAACTTTCGGAGTGCGAACAGCCACTTGTAGCTCAAAGAATTATCTCACAAACTCGCGAGTGGGGAGTCTAACCAAGTTATGTGTAGAGAAGGCTGCTTTTCATCTAGCATGTTGTGACCGTGCTGTTGCAATTCAGTGGTGAAACAAGCCGAGCAAGGGCTCCTCGTGGAGACTTTCACTATGTGGGCAGGGTTTGCTCAATGTTATTGCAACCGTACATACAACAGGCAGTTTTAGCCAGAGAAGTTGGCAAATTTGGAATGGATGAGAACACAAAACCACAACGCGCTTATATGATGCAACAGAATTTTAATGAGAAGGAAAAGAACAAAAATATACTGCAGTATCAAGAATGTATATCCAAGATTTCAGAGTCAAATGCATTTTGAAAGACGCTCTTAAATGTCTCATTGCATTCAGTCACAAGTATGATAAACTAGAAGATAACAAGGAATTGAACCCATGAAGATATCAGGAAAGAATTCAAAGGAAAAAAAAAAAAGGAGAGGTGTGGAGCATGCAGAAGTCACTGCACTGAACAGGATTTGTGAGTGCTTTCACAAAGCCGTCCCTCATCTGCTCGGAGGTGAATCTGCATTTTGTTTTTCACTTGTACATTATTCAGTGGATTTTCCTGTTGTGTTTAGCAGGGCCCGCAGCTGCCACGGCTGTACCTGTTGTACCAGTAAGGGCTGCAATAACCAGAACCAAAATAGGGTCTACCACAGCCATACAGACCCCTGTAACCCAGGGAGCCCCCATAGCCATACAGACCCCCGTAGGCCCCCTAGCCATACAGACCCCCAGCGCC